GAAGAATGCGGAAGCGAGATGAAAAAGAGGAAGAGGAGGCGCAGTGTGGTACCCAAAGCAAAGAGAGGGGCAGGGATGTGCCTTTGTGATGGGTTGGTTGTTAAGGAAGCAAGTCCATTGACTCCTCCACACATGCACATGAAGTGCTGAGTGCTTTTCTTGGCCAGGTCCAAATGGGAAACGTTGGCAGTGACTGGGAAACCACCTTCTGTTGGATTCCTATAGGTCGTTTGGGCTTGTCTGATTGCATCTACATTGGGGACGGGAGGGAAGAGAAAGGGAAAGGGAAAGGGAAAGGGAAAGGGAAAGGGAAAGGGAAAGGGAAAGGGAAAGGGAAAGGGAAAGGAAGAGGGGAAGGGGGAAGGAAAGGGAAAGGAAGAAGGAAAGGAGAAAAGTGAAAGGGGAAAGGAAGAGGGAAAGGGGAAAGTGAAAGGGGAAGGGGAAAGGGAAAGGAAAAAAGGAAAGTAAACGGAAAAGGAAAAAGGGAAAGGGGAAAGGGAAGGATCATTTATACTGGAGATGGACTTTAAAACAAAGAGCAGCTTAAATGCCTTAAATTTAAGTGCTTTATGGGTTCTTCAAGACATGAGGTCCTTGCTCTGGAGGGGACAATCCGAAGGGCTGGAAGGCAGATGCATGTTGTCTCTTTTTGCTTCCCTTTCTCTTCCTCAAAAGCAGGGTGAGAATAAGCTTAAAAGGGATGGAGCTGAAGATTCCTTCTCATTTCAAACAGCAAAACAAGCCCACTGCTAACAGCATGAAAGTGATTTCCCTTCCTCCCCATCACCTTTGGCAGCTTTGTTCCTTGCCCCTCTGCAGGCACAGCTCATGGAGAGGCTCCGGCTGTTCTGCACCGCTCCAGGGATGCAGAGCAGCCAAAAATCCCTGGATTCAGGTGGGATAACAGCTGCTTTGCATTAGCATCTCCCTCTTGGGCTTCCCCTTTGTTTTTCTTCTTTCTCCTTGTTTCCTTTGCTCTCCGCTCGCTCCTTTGGGATTGCAAAAACACAGCGCAGGTTTTCCCTGTCTTTCAGTGTCCGTGTTTGTTTTCCTGTCTAATATATCCTCACCTCCAAAGTGAGTGCTGAAGCCAGGGGTTAATGGGCAGCTTGGGAATACCATGATCAAGGCCGTACTTTTCTGCAGTGATCCTGCATGACCCCAAGTAAGACCCATAAACCCCAGATCTCACCTCACCCTGAATCCTGGAGGAATCTGAAGATGGATGAAGACGTGGCCTTTAGCCTCCCTAATTTCACTCCATTCTAGTGTGGGATATTGGTTTTTTTTTCCCCAAATTCCCTAGGATTTCTTTAAGATGCTCACAAGGACCAGGCTTAAGTAAACTCAAGTCTACTCATTCCTCATCACCTCGCTGCATCTTCCCCTCCATCCCTGCCTGTGATCCCTGTCCTTCCCTTGCGTTTCTATAGCACATGGGGCTGCTTCTGGACAACACATGCCACAAAGAGCTTGAATTCTCTCTGTCATGAGGATGTGGTCCCTGTAGTACCATAATTTGGGATGATAGAGAGTTGCAGAGGCCAAAGCTGTGTATTAGCAAGCAAAAAGAGCTCATTCCATGCCATAGGGAGGGATATATTTAGGATAGCTTCTCAGCTCTATATACCCCAAAGGCTTTTGAGTCAGCAACTCCGAGCATGTGTGGGAAGTTCTTTGCTTACAGGCTGCATCGAGCAGGGAGGTGTTGAAGTGAATGAAGAACATACTTCAGGGCTGAGGAAGATGTGCAGTCTTTAAGCATCAATAGCAGCTATGCACTGAAACAGGGTCCTGAGGGCGGCTCAGGATCAGAGCATCGCTCAGCCAGCTCCAGCCATTCCCAATGGCCACCTGGAAGCATCCCAGCTCTCTATCTTTTAATTGAGAGCAAAAAAGCAGCTGTTAGTGCAAATCATTCCCCTTACACTCGATCCCATGCAGCCTTGTTCCTTCCATGCCCCCACAACAGCTTTTCCTTGAGGGCTTAATATTACCAGCGCTGTCAATCCAACACCTCTCACCAGGATTAAATTCAGTTACAAGGGGATGGGGGGGGGAACTTGAAATAACAAATAATCAAGCCACATTAAATAACCCTTTGGGAGCCCATCCACCTCCCAGCCTTGCTTGGCTGGAGTTGAGATGAATTAGGCTAAATCCAAGCACAGCATCTTCCCCAGGAGGCACTGGGAAGCTGTTTCCAATGGCTTTACCTAGTTAAGGGTTATAATCTTTACCAGCTGCCTGATGTACTGACGTGGTCCTCGGCCCACAAACACCATCTCCCTCTCTCTGCTATCTCTTCCTTGAGGGTTATACATCCATAGGAGCAAAAGGATGGGATGGAGACCTCCGGAACGACAGAACCCTGCTCCTGCCACCAGTAAGGAGGTGGGAGTTTGCGTGCCGTAAATCCATGGGCTTTGCTTGCCGGGTTGGAGCCGGCCACACAGATTTGGCACCGATGTGTTGTGTAATTAGAGAGAACTCCAAAAGCAGCCCCAGCACCAACCCCCAGAGCAGCAGCAACTGTGGGAACGTGTCACTGTGCTGCCTGAGGAGGTGATGAGGGCAAGTTTAGTCTGGTGCAGGTCACCAGCGAGCACCGGCAGCACCAGGGGGTTGGCAGCGGCTCCTGCGGTGATGCTGGAGCTCGTTTCCATCACCCCACAGCAGCAAAGCTGCCCCGGCTCAGTCCTGACCCGGGGTTACCATCACTGACACGTCCTCAGTGCTGCCCGAGTTGGGAAAAGGCTTTTTTTCTGCTTGGAAAGCAGGATTTATCCTGCTGGATTTGGGCAGGACCCAGCACAGCCTCTGCTCTGCAGTTATTGTGATGGAGAGGTGATGGGATCTGTCATCCCTGCTCCACATCAGCATTTCATTTGGCATCCCCAACCCCAGGTGAACATTCCCCCTTTTCCCTGCGTTGCCCTTCCCAGTTTATTCCCCTCCATCCCCGAGGATGCACGTTCTGCAGGACATGTGTTAGCAATTAGGTCTGTTTGTTCAACCCACGTCTGGTTTTGCTTTTGCCTCCTGGCAAAACCCACTAATAATAATAAGAGTAATAATAATAGCAACAATAAGAGCAATGATAACAGCAAGGCAAGATCCCAGCCTCGGGAGCAGATCCACAGCCACGTGGAAACCCTGGACCAGAAAGACATGACCCTCGATGGTTTCTCTCCCTGATGTTACACAGATGATGGCTCAAATAACCCCTATGTTCTCAAGCTTCTTGGGTTTCAGCTTAGGACAAAGGCAAATAAACAGCTTTGCCATCGGTCCCCAGGAGCAGGATGGAGTTTTCAGCTCATAAAGGCATTTGGGATGCGCTGCCATCAAGCCAGGGATGGGTTTGGAGTGAAGCACAAGTGGTTTGGCTGGAGCACCACAGGACACTCCTGTATTAAATCACTGCAAGAGTTCAGCACTTGCTCTGTGTATTACCACGAGAGCTTCAGAGCCTGGATATCAACACATCCCATCAGGAACACCTCATTCCACTGTGCCACAGGGGGTACAAACTCTTTTCATGCCATTTGTGCTGCTTAAGATGGAATTAAAGGTGTTTGGAGCGGAGAAGAGGTTGGTCTCATCCAGCATCTTTCTCCCAAGGTGGCCAAAAGGAGAGCTTGATGGGGACTCCGGGGCACAACTCCTTGGCCTAAGGGGATGAGTCTCATTCCCACCTTCAATTCCCTGGGGTTTAACCTTGTTTTAACCACAGCAAAGCTTTGGTTAGGTTTCCTTCCTGCAGGATCATGGTCCCATTGCATCAGTGTCCCATGCAGGGGAAAACGTAAGGATTAGCCTTATATTATCTACCAGAGAAGACAACAGCCAAGGGAAGTGAAACACGCACTCTTCCAGTATCACAGCACTGGGAACCATCACTGGCAGCATCTCCTGATGCATGGAAAAGCCACCCCTTCCCCTTGGATGCTGCATATGATGCTCCCCATCATTTCTCTTGCATTGGGAAGCTATTCCTGCAGCTTCAGGCTTGATGTGGATGCAGGACATCACCTGTGTCCATTCCCTGGTGCCAGCTGGGGGTATTTGGCTCAATCCCATTAAGTCCTTTTGCTTCCTTACAGCAAAGCACCCTGAGCCAACAGAGCAGGATTTGGGGGGTTCTGGCATCAATGCTTCATTGCTTTCCAGGTAAATACTTGGGGCTCTTGTGGGGTTTTGTCTCTCTGGGTGATTTTTAAGGGCATCTGGTGCTGGAGGAGCAAGGCATTGGTTTTAACTCAGTTTCTCCTCCTCATCCAAGGGAATAGCTGCAGCACGGGGTACAAATCGCCCTCTCTGCCCCTATTTGCAGCTGGAGCCTTTGGATGTATTTGGGTTGAAACTGAGCTTTCCTGTGGGAAAAGGCACAGGATATCAATCCTTTATTGCCCTGCAGGAACTGGTGCCGTGTCCCATGGAAAGGAAGGGGTTTATTTCACCGCTGGCATGGGTATAAGAGGAAAAGAGGGCTCTGACCCAGGGTGGTGGTGCTGGGAATGAGCAGGGATGTGTTCCGGGCACCAGCAGCTGTGCCAGGTCAGCTCATGGCCGAACCTAACCCTGCTCTTCCTGGACCATCCCAAGGTGATGTGGGAATGGGCTGTGACTAAGGCTTTGTCAGCACATGGAGCGGATGACTCCGGAATAGCACGTGTGTCCCAGACAATGGTATGCATGGACATGGGTTGTTCCAGGATGTGAGAGTGCTGTTCCAGTGTGCATTAACCCGTTTAGCTCTATATTGCTGTTACCCTGACAAAGAGCATCCTGATCCCAGGCTCAAACCAACCACCCTGATGCGTTTAACATCTCAGTGCAGGGACTAAGCCCACATTGAGCTCCTTTGTTGCTGCTCATAGCGCATCCTGTAGCAGAAGCAGGTCAGAACAACCACCTCTGAGGCTTCCAATGGGACGGCGATAAGAGATGCTCCACAGCCCCCAAGTGAAGGACATGGGCACCATTGGGGAGCCATGTGGCTTTAAATACAGTTTATTTCAGGTTTGCTATCAGTATACATGGTATACACAGAGCAGCCAGTCCGAGTGGCATCTCCATCCTTTTGCTGCACACTTGGCAAAAGAACCGCACACAAAGAGTCCTTCCCCGCCCCATAGACAAGGCTGATGGGTTCTCAGTGGCTTGGAAACCATCTCTTGGGGGTGGCAAAAGACAACAGGGCAGCTCCTCAGAGCTCTGTCCCCAAATGGAAGCTTGGCTATGCAGGAAAACCCTTTGGAAGGGGTCTGATGATGGGAATGGAGACCTGGAAGGGATTTGTTACGGCATTGAATCCCGTTCCCAGAGCAGCCACAGCATCTGCTCCTCATGTGGTCTGGTGTGAGGTGTCCCTGCCCATAGCAGGGGGTTGGAACTGGATGATCTTAAGGTCCTTTCCAACCCAACCCATTCCATGACTCTATCAAGCAGTGTGGAGACCCAGAACATTCCTGTGTTCGAAAGGCACTATGTCAATCCATGAGGATGGGTCCCCAAACGTTGTCATGAGGAGTTTGTAAGCTGATGGAAAAGTGTAGCAAGGGAATCCTTGTACTCTCTCCATCCTGTTCCTTGTGATCTTCCTCCCTTTGCCCATAGTATTGGGGCAGAAGGGGCACAAGGAATTTCCATGCTACACCTGCATGGGACTGAGCAAGCCTCTGGCTGCTGGGACAGCATCTTCTGCCTCCCCATCATCTCTCTGTCCCCCCCATAGCTCCTTCCTGCTGCTCCCAGTACCTGCATCACTCAATACAGAGGCTCTGGCTTGCCCCCAGTCACAGCAAATGGGTTTAGAGGCACCTTCACCAGTGAGAAAGCAACAAGTGAAGTGGTCCCTGCTATGATCTGAGTGGAAGACCCAAGTGATGTGTAAATGGTCCCCTGCAGCCGCAATGGGCATGATCTGAGGTACAGAACAAACCCTGCACCAAATCCTGGAGGGGGAAACTGGTTGTAGGGAGAGGCTCCAAGCTACCTCTTCCTCTGCATGTCCATACCCCACTGAGCCCCTTTCCCACTGGAGGGCAGTGGGCTCTCTGTGCGCAGCAAACTGGTCCCATTAAGCAGTGAGCACCATTTCCAGAGCGGAGTCAAGTACCAGTGACTGGTGGGGCTGTGTCTGGCCCCATACACTACAGTACAGTTGCTTGGTTTGGGATGCCAGCTCCAACCTCAGCTCCGGAGTGATCCCTTTTAGCCCTGAAAAGCTTCAGGCGGGTGGTTTAGAACCTGCCCTGGATCAGGGTGTGAAGGAGCATCCAGCGACGCACAGGATGCTCACACAGCCCCATCCCAAAGCACCATAGGGAACCCTCATCCAGGTGTGAGAGCCCACTGGGAATACCGCCATCCCCGCTCCACCAGGTTTACATCCATTGGGATGGAGGGGGAAGGAAGGAGGTTAAAACAATACAGAGTTAAGCACCATAAAATCTACACTGGTCAGGTCATAAACAGGAGGAGAAAACCACAATGAAGCCACCACCTTCCAGCCTGGCCCAGGGATGCTGCTGGGGCTCAAAGGACCACCCTAGGCTGTGAGTCCTCACCAGTGGAAGCATCAGTCCCAGCACCTCGGTGGTTGGGCAATGTCATTTGCCATCATTGCATTGATAAATCCTTTTTGGTCCCATTGAGCACGAGTGTTGGGGGGGAGCCCAAGGAGGGAGGGGAGGTAGGCTGGGCCCTTGGGAAGACAGGGGAGGCTTTGGCTGTGCAATATAGGGGCATCTCCCTGTACTCAGATCCATCGCAGGCAGTGCTCCTCCTCGCTCCCATCGATCCCAGCCTCTGCCGATGGGTTTCCACGTCATTCAGCAGCTTCGAGGTAGATGTTTGGTCCCCCTCTGTCTCCAAGCGACCTCTCAGGCCCATGGGGTGAGTGTGCTCGGTCCCTTTGGGTTTATCCCTTCCTTTCCCCCCCCCTTGTTTTCTATGTGCTATGGACGCCTCCCCCATCCCCAGCCGGAGGAGCACCATGCCCTTCCTCACGCAGCACCCCTGCGAACCAGCTCAGCACAACCTCAAGGTGCAGAAATCCAGCTCCTGCGGCTTCCGACGGGAATTGCAGCTCTCCCGTGGGAGCAGGCGCCCGGTTGGGACCGAGCACTTCAGCGCCCGCCTCTTGAACCCGCGACCGCAGCTTTTGGAGCAGGGGGACCAAGGTCCAGCATCCCACATGGGGCAGGGCTCCCCGCAGAGCCGGACCTCAGCCGGGCGCTGCGCAGCATCGCACTCGGCCGCGGGTTGCCCATAGGAGTCCTGGCAAGCCACGGAGCGCTTCTGCATCCCATCCCCGCAGGTCACGGAGCACGCTTCCCATCCGCCCGCCGCCCACTTGTAGGAGGGACGTTTGTAGCTCGGCCTCCCACCATCCAAGCGGTTGGACAGGCTGAGGACGCTGTTGTTGAGGTCCGGCGGGGTCCTGCCCTCTTTCCTATAGGAGCCTTTGTCCTCTTTGCTCTCCTTGGGGAGGTAGAAGGAGTAGCGCACCCGCGGAGGGGTCATCTTCCCCACGGACAGCACCTCCAGGGTCAGGGGCTCCTGGATGGGTTTGAAGGCCTGGAGGCTCTCCACAGCGGTGCCGGTGCCGCTGTACCGCAGGACGCTGCCCTTCACCATGAGGTCCCTCTCCACTGCGGACACGATGAAGTGCCCGTTGAGCAGGTACTTGCCCTGCCCGTTCTTCAGCGCCAGGTAATTGTCATCACTGATGAGCCCCTTGTAGCCCCGCTGCCTGATGTCGATGTTGGAGGCCCCCGCGGGGATGACCACCACGAAGTTGTAGCCGTGCCTGGAAGGGAAGGGCAGGGCGTTAAGCAGGAGCACATCCCATTGGGATGGGGTCTCAAGATCTTCCCACCCCACGGTTATCTCCTATGATCCTTCCACCCCACGGTTATCTCCTATGATCTTCCCACCCCACAGTTATCTCCTATGATCTTCTCACCCCACGGTTATCTCCTATGATCTTTCCACCCCATGGTTATCTCCTATGATCTTCTCACCCCACGGTTATCTCCTATGATCTTCCCACCCCATGGTTGTCTCCTATGGAGCTCATTTGGAATCTGCTCCTTACACTGATTTTTATCTAAGCTGAGCGTATAGGAAGGTGCTTCAGTTCCTGTGGGTCAGCAGGGTGGAGGTACCAGAGTACCATCAGTGTGGAGGTACCAGAGTACCATCAGCATGGATGCACCAGAGTACCATCAGCATGGACATACCAGAGTACCCTCAGTGTGGATGCACCAGAGTACCATCAGTGTGGAGGTACCAGAGTACCATCAGCATGGACATACCAGAGTACCATCAGTATGGATGCACCAGAGTACCATCAGCATGGATGCACCAGAGTACCATCAGCATGGACATACCAGAGTACCCTCAGTGTGGATGTACCAGAGTACCATCAGTGTGGATGTACCAGAGTACCATCAGCATGGATGCACCAGAGTACCATCAGCATGGACGTACCAGAGTACCCTCAGTGTGGATGTACCAGAGTACCATCAGTATGGATGTACCAGAGTACCATCAGCGTGGATGTACCAGAGTACCATCAGCGTGGATGCACCAGAGTACCATCAGCATGGACATACCAGAGTACCCTCAGTGTGGATGTACCAGAGTACCATCAGTGTGGACGTACCAGAGTACCATCAGCATGGACACACCAGAGTACCCTCAGTGTGGACGTACCAGAGTACCGTCAGCATGGATGTACCATCACAAGCCAACAGCACATTAAATGTGTCCTGCTTCCCCTGCAGAGCTAGCCCAGCTCTCCATACAGTGATGGGGACTGGCACCAGGAGGTTTTGCTCAGGATGAGCTTAGACCCATCACCATAGAATGGTTTGGGTTTGAAGGGACCTTCAAGATCATCTATTCCCAACCCTCAACCATCTCCATGGCCTTCCTGCCCCCAGTGGATGGGGAAGCACATGTGGTCATTGAACACTTACATGGGTTTGGTGAACAAGCCCGAGACCTTCTTGCAGCTCTTGTTGTCCCCTCCACAGACACTGCACTTGTCAAACTTCTTCTTGGAGCCCAGCTTCCCATCACAACCCGCTTTGATGCACTTGCCCTGCACGCAGACCGAGGTGGAGTCTGGGGAGCAAGGGGTCCCGTCCACAACCTGCACAAGCAAAACAACCGCTGCGTTTCCCTTTGCCACCCACATCCATCCAAGGGGTGCGGAGGAAGTGCCAGCAGGCACCACATCACCCTTTGCTCATGCTCTGCTTGGCACCCAGGGTCGTTAGGGTGGCACTGCATCCCTTTGCTCTTTCCATTGCACTGGTGCAAAGGGAATAGCCTGCCCACACCTGCAATGGCCATCCTGTGTGCATACCCCAGATGCACCTTTACAAGCCCCATAGAAGACCCTCCATGGACCGGCTCCAGCCCTGGGATGAGGAAGCAGGCACATCCAGGCTGATCCACTCCCTCACCTACCACAACTACCCACAAAACAAGGAGAAATCCTTCATTTCCAGGCACGCCAGAGCCATCCCACAGCCCTGATGGTGGCCACGGGGGTCCCTCACCCACCTTGGGTGCCAGCACGTAGAAGTAACCGGTGCCATTGGCTCGGCAGATGAGTTTGCATTTATCCCGGGGGGAGACACCGGAGTATTTGGGGACCCAGGAGACGGATGCGGTGAGGCGGTTGGTGCTGTGGCTGTATCCGTTGAAGGCCTCACACTGCTCCTCACGGAAGCTCTTTCCCGGCACTGGAAAAAGAAGTTGGATGTGCATGGGATTGGGGATGTGGCTGCCCCATCCCTGGTGGTGGTTGGACACAGGGGCTTGGAGCAACCTGCCCCAGTGGAAGGTGTCCCTGCCTATGGCAGGGGTTGGAACTGGATGAGCGTTGAGGTCCCTTCCAACACAAACCATTCCATGCTTCTATGGAGCTCGGGCTCCAGGTTTAGGGGCTGTTACAGGTCATGCAGAGAGCCCTTACCTGCAGCAGAGCAGGGCTCCAGGTTGCAGGAGCGGTACTTGACGCGGATGCCCTCGCAGTAGGAGCCCCCATTGGCAGGCACGGGGTGGGTGCACTCCCGCTTGGCCAGCTGCACCCCTCCACCGCACGTCCTCGAGCACTGCCCATAGGGCGCCCACTTGGCCCAGCCACCATCCACCTGCGGGGGTGCAGTGGGATGAGATGCTGCATCCCCGCTGCCACCAGCTCCATCCCAAGCAGGAGTTCTCAGCATCCCTTGGCAAGCGAAACCACTGCTAGATATCCCCAAACCCATTTGGGACTGGATGGAGCAAGGGCTTTCAGCATCCCTTATAAATCAAAACCCTTTCCACTTGCTTCTAAACCCATTTGGGGCTGGATGAAGCAGGGGTTTTCAGCATCCCTTCTGAATCAAAACCCTTTCCAGTTGCTCCTAAACCCATTTGGGACTGGATGGAGCAGGGGTTTTCAGCATCCCTTCTGAATCAAAACCCTTTCCAGTTGCTCCTAAACCCATTTGGGGCTGGATGGAGCAAGGACTTTCAGCATCCCTTCTGAATCAAAACCCTTTCCAGTTGCTCCTAAACCCATTTGGGGCTGGATGGAGCAGCACCTCTCAGCATCCCTTGGCAATCAAAACACCTTTCAGATGCCCCCAGGCCCATTTGGGGCTGGAACAGAGCAGGGTCTCTTAAGCCTCCTTTTGCAAGCAAAACCTCTTCCAATTGCTCCCAACCCCATGTGGAGCTGGACGAAGCAGAGCATCATCCCTCCTTGCGCAACACGCAGTGCCCAAGCCACCTCCATCTCTTTGGCATCCTTGTGCCCCCAGCACCGGCAGGATCCATCCCTCAGCCCAGGGTGACCCCATGGGGCAGTGCAGGTACTCACCCTGTACTTACTGATGTTGTGCCTCTCAACGCAGGAGCCCTTGAGGCAGAAGCGCCCCTCACCGCAGCTCGTGCCATCGGCCCAAGGGAAGTGCCGGGTCTGGCAGACGATCTGGCCCCGTGCCTTGCCCGTGCACCACAGCTTGGCGCAGTACTGCATGTAAGGGCAGGGCTTGGAGCCCACCCCGAAGGCCAGCTCGCACTGCTGGTTCAGGCTGTAGCTCGACCCAGGCAGGTCTTCGGGCAGCGGGATGGGCTTGGCCGGCTGGTCCAGCAAGCAGTCTCCTGCAGCAGGGAGGATGGGGAGGTCTGGGGGGTTCCTGGGGGGTTGTATGGAGCAGTGTGGGGATGGATGGGCAAAGCTATCCCAACCCCGTGCTACCCCAGGGATGCTCTCAAGGGCAGACCCAAGTGACTCCATCTCTGTGGCAGCCTCAGATGGAATCATGGAATCAATCAGGTTGGAAAAGAGCGTTAAGATCAAGTCCAACCGTTCTCCAGCACTAACCCATGGCACTGAGGGCCTCAAATGCATGCATGTCATCTTCCAGGGGTGGTGATCCCATTCCTTCTATCTCTGCAGAGTGGGGAGAAGAGCTGCTCCACAGCCCATCAACCATCCCCAGGCATGGACCCTGCTCCCTAGGGACAGTATACAGGTACGAGGGCTCACCATGGCCACTGTCGAGGAAGTCGGTGATGATGGCAGCACTGCAGGCTGACCAGGGGTTGGCACGGTCGATCTGGATGAGGGTAGGGGACATCATGTGGTTGGTCTTCAGCCGGCCAAAGACCTCCTCACAGGCCTTCACGTTGTCATGGGGCATGTTGAAGACATGGCCTGGGAAAGGGATAAAGAGGGACAGTGTGAATAACATGGCTTGGAACAGAGGGACAAGCAATGGGGATAACGGAGGCACGGAGTGGGGCAGAGCCTTGCAGGGATTGCAGGGGCTGGAGACCCATGGGGAAGGATGAGGCTCTGCACAAGCAGCAGGAGCTTGCAGGACCAGCACCATTCCCACTGTCCTGGCTGCTTTGTGCATGTGGAAAGGAAGGGAAATGGCAAAGAGAAGGAAACTTCAGCACTCAACCCCCCCCCCTTCCTCCTCTTCCTCCTCCCGCCGAGCACCACAAGTGTCTCCAGGGGTAGGTTCCTGTTGTTCCAAGCCTATGGGCATATCCCAAAGGATGCTGCAAGCCCAGCCCAGGTAGCAACCACAACAGCAAAGCCTTTTGCTTCCCCAGCAGCTCTCTCCCAGCCAGGTCTCATGCCCCAAGGTGGAGTTTCCCCATCCCCAGACACCGGGTATTGTCTCATCTTCCGGAGCAGGGTTATTTCAGAGCTCCTGGCATTCCTCCCAGCAGGAATCGGAGAGCAGGAGCCTTACCCAGCTCATGGGCAGTGGTGAAAGCCGAGGGCAGCCCATCGTCCTCGATGACGGAGCAGCTCCGCTTGGGATCACACATGGTCCCCACATCCGCCATCCCCAGCGTGTCGCATGTGGTGGCACCGCACAGGTCCTGCAGGGTATGGAGAACAGGGGTTATCCCCACAGACAGCACCAGCATCCCTGCTCCCCATCCCCATCCCAAGTATCCCATGGGGAGCTGATCCCAGACTGCAGCCCAAAGGGATGGGGACCACTGGGCTGGAAACCGCAATCGTGACCCCGAGCAGGGGTGTTTGCATTCACCCTCATTGTGCACAGCATCCTGCCAGGCATCCTCAGTGACAGCTTTTCCCACCCACCCAGATCCTCTGCCCAGGGTGGAGGTGGTTTTGGCATCGGAGTCATTGGGATGGAGTCATTCTGGCCCCATCCTTCAATGATGGCTCAAGGAGCAGACCCAGATGGGTGGATGGGAAGGTACTTGGCCTTGGTGCCTTGACCTGAGAGCTGACCCCTTTCTCAACCTCATTTCTCTACCTCTTCCTAGGAACAAGGAGCTCCTGGACTGGGTCCAGAGGTTCCCAAGGCTGTGGGAAGTGTTCCTGCCTCTCCAAGACTCTTTGCAGCCATCCCAAGCGCCGCTGATGGAAGAACAAGCCATCAAGGATGACCAGATCCCATGTAAATGCTGCTGGGACAGAGGATGGGAAGGGTCTCATCATCAATGGATCTGCCCTTCTTCATGACCCAAAGGTGCTTGTGCCAATTGAAGGTCCATTTGAGGATGCTTGGTGCTGGGGTCTGATGGGGATGGAGCATCCCCCGCATCCCTCAGTGTGGTCCCAATGGGAATGGGAGCTGCTGTGGAGGCCACGCAGGAGGCAGGGAGCTGCTTTCCACATGAAAGGGAAACGTAAGGGACTCTCTGGGCTATAAATAAGCGTGATTCATGCTCGGTGCTCCTCGGCCAAGGCGCTGCTTGAAGCCTCACACAGGCAGCTCTGCCAGCATTTCCAGTGAGGATTCCAAGCTCAGGCAGGTTCATCCGTGGGTAAAGAGCAGTCCCGATGGCTCCAGAGAGCCCCAGATGGCTTTAACAGGAGCTAAAGTGGCCACGGAGCCGGGAGGCTGTGGCTGTGGCTGGAAAACCTCATTGCACAAGGTTCAGCTCCACCATTCCACCACCCATCAATGCACAGGGACAAGTTGGTGGCATCCTGAATCCCAGGTTGCTTAAATGGGGTTGGCGAGCCTGATGCAGGGTTCCTTGTCCTAAGGAACCGGGGTGTTGCCACGCTGAGCATCACGTCAGGGATGCAGCTTGCGCAAGCTGGGTCTTTGGGGGTGATGCTGGGTCCTGGGGCAGCATCTCTGGGCTCCAATAAGAGGTCCTGACCCCCCCTCCAGAACGCATCCTTCTGCTTACAGGGATGCGGGATGGGACCAACACAAGGATGGAGCAATGGAGGGGAGCAGAGAGGAGCTCCAGAGCTTTAAAGGGGGACAGCAGCAGGCAAAGGAGCAGCTCTGCCTTGAGTTCACTGTCACTGGTACCCACCACTGCCAGCATGAAGACAGAGGGGATGCTCAGCACCCCAAGCCCAAGCAGCTCCCTGGGACTCTCCTGCCATCCTGACCTTCCCCCATGGGCACTTCCAGGGCTTCTCTTCATCCCCTTGGGAGCATCCCGAGGTGTTCTGCAGGTCAGATGGGAGGGATCCTTGTGCACTGATTCACCTCCACAGAGGGACCGGTCTCCCTGTCATGGGGGCTTCCCACGTGCATCCAAAGCAATCCCAACAGGTTGAGCCTTAAACACAGGATTCCCGGTTCAGATTGCAGATGTTCCTTAGTGCATTTGGTGGAAGACGTTGGGCTGGTGGGACATGGAGCATCCAGATGGGTGAGAAGCCCTTTGTTGTGGTGTGTGATGCTGCTTCCAAGGGGCTGGAATGCAGTTGAAGGCTCCAGCAAGCACCAGCTCAGGTAGGAAGGTCCCAGGGCCATGGCTGCTGGTAGATGTGCACCCATCAGGACCGAGATCCCGAAATCCACAATCCAGACATCAGGATGGAGCAGAGCCAAGCGGGAGAGGACAGCCCCATTGGAACAACTGGAAGCTGCCTATCAGCAGGGCTGGAGGTGAAACCTAAGTCGGGGGCTTTTGTAACAGCTTTTTGGCAGGGAGCGATGCATTGGGGTGTCAGGGGACCACAGATGGATGCACTCAAGGAAGGCAGATGTCTCCTCTGCACCGAGCTTGCCTTGGGATTTCAGGAATGGCTGGGTTAGCAATGGATAAGGAATGCAGCCCGGCTGTGATCCACAGCCTTGGAATCGCTGGGATCGAATCTGACCCATGTGTGGCTCCGGTGACCTCGCTGGGTTTCCATCAGGGATGGAGCTGTTTGGGGTTTGACCCTGCCTGTGCTCCAATGGGATTTACAGCCGGATGGAGGACGTGGTCCCTGCCCAGGGACAAGGAGGATGGACAGGACGAGGTCTCTCATCACTCCTGCTCCAGGAATGCGCTGATGCCAGGGTAGAGGCAGCTGAACTAAACTGGATGCTGCATCCTTCCCACCCATGAGTGTTTGACCTGGAAGGGCGCTTTGGGAATGGTGTCCCTGCTGTTGAGGGGAGCTCCTGACCTGTCCCTCATCCTAAAACATCCGGGCAGGGATTGGCACTGCTTCCATGTCACCCGGTTTAATCCCAGAGGGATAACGGAGCTGCCCCATGGAGCGGCAGAGCCCATTCCAGAGGTGAGGAAAAGGCCCTTTTCCCACGGCAGAGGTGGGGGACACCCTCACCTCTCCCCCCCTGCGAGGTCTGCAAGCGCTGGCTCTGTCTCTGGTGCTCTCCTTCCAGCCCTGAGCGAGGTCCATGCGGAGCAGCCAGCACGCAGGAGAGCTCCAGGTTCTCCTGAGCCAGAGGAAGCAGGGATGAGAGGTGGGATGCTCCATCGTGAGCAATTCCCAGCCAAGGACAGGGGATCGGGGCCATGCTCCTCCTCTTCTGGGCTCACACCCCCTGTTTTGGGGTGGCTGCTCCCTGTGCCAGAGCCACTTGGGCTCCTGCCAGGAGCCTGGGGATGGAGCAGCAGGGTTCTGCCTATGGGGACAACCTGCACCTGCGCACCCATCGGCCTCACTCAGCCCCCTGCCAGCAAGGGCTGGCTCTAGGGGGCTTGGTCCATGCTGCCCCAGCACCATAAGGATCCATTGGGAAAGGGGGATCAACCACAACCATGCGCTAGAGGTGGGGTGAGGTGTCAGGGGCACAGTGTGGGGCTCCTTGAAGTGGGGGGTCCCCCCCCCTTTCCCTTGCACCCACCTGCTTGGTGAAGAGGATGGCAGTGTCCCAGTACTCGGGGTGCTTGTCGCTGCCCTTGTTCCACTTCTTCTGCCAGGCACAGAAGTTGCGGAGGGTGAGGGCGGCATTCCCGGTCACTTTGGGCCCTTTGTCATCCTGCCCGATGAGGAGGAACTTGACCACGGAGATCTGGATGGGGTTCCGGATGCTGGGGTGCTTGTAGAGGCGGGCGGCCGTGGCCATGAGCGTGAGCAGGTAGTGCTGGAGATCATCCCCATGGAACTTCACCATCGACTCATCAGCCACCACCAACGTCTCCACGTACCGGGGCACCGAGGCAAAGCGCTTGGCCCGACCCCCTTTCCCCCCTCCCCGTCCCCGGTACTTATCCAGCGCTTGCAGCACGCCGGGGGTGAGCCCGGAGCCCACTGCGCATCGGGATGCTCCGGCCCCGACGGGGCGGCCGGGGCTGCGGCGCTGCAGGCGATGCTCCCCACCCGCCGCACCCGCAGCCAGCGGGGTGATGATGTACTCGGCTCCTCGATAGCCGAAAGCCCCTCGGAGCCCCCCGCAGAGGCTGAGGGCGGCGAAGGACTCCCGGTCTGCGTTGACATCCCCTGAATAGAAGCAGTGCCGGAGCGCAGGGCCGGGCCGGGCGGCGGCCCCCAGGTAATGCGCGGCGAAGGCGGGCGCGATGAAGTGGGCATCGGGGGTGAGGTGGAGGTAAAAATCCTCCCCGAAAGCCGAGAGCTGGAAAACCACCGCCTGCCCCCCCCGGGGCGGCTCTGCCGGCCCCCGCCTGAAATAGGATCTGCCGTTGATGTCCGGGTCCAAGCGGAGCGGGGTCACCACCTCGGTGTCGTCCAGGGGCAGGCTCAGCCCCCCGGAGCCCAACAGCAGCAGCGGCAGCAGCGGCAGCATCGTCCCGGTGGGATCACATCGGGGGGGACAGGGAGCGGAGGGGGGGATGAAGCGGATCGGGTGTCCCCCCCCCCACTCTTTCTTCCTTCCTGCCTTGTGTTGGATGGGGCCGTGCGAGCCGCCTGCCCCGCCGGTACCTGCGGTGCGGGGAGCGGAGCGGTTTTATGCGGGCGGACGGGGCGGGAGAGCGGGCGGAGCGGAGCGGGAGAGCCCGGAGCAGCGGGGCCGGCAGAGCCGAGCTCCGCCCGGGGCGGGACCGAGGAGGGTGGGATGGGATAGAGCGGGGAGGGGGGGAATGGGATGGGATGGAGGGGATGGGATGAGGTAGCATGGGGTGGAATGGGGGAGATGACAGGGGATGGGGGAATGGGATAGGGTGGAATGGGATGAGGGGAGTGGGATAGGATGGCATAGCATGGCATGGGAAGGTGGGGGTGTGGGATGGGATGAGGGTGTGGAATGGGATGGAGTGAAATGGAATGGGACAGAGGAGTGGGATGGGGATGTGGAATGGGATGGGGATGTGGGATAGGACAGGAATATGGGGTGGGATGGGGGTGTGGAATGGGATGGAATGGAATGGAATGGGAAAGGGGAGTGGGATGGGGATGTGGAATGGGATGGGGATGTGGGATAGGGCAGGAATATGGGGTGGGATAGGATGGGGCTGTGGAATGGGATGGAATGAAATGGAATGGGACAGAGGAGTGGGATGGGGATGTGGAGTGGGATGGGGATGTGGGATAGGGCAGGAATATGGGTGGGATGGGATGGGGGTGTGGAATGGGGTGGAATGAAATGGAATGGGACAGGGGAGTGGGATGGGGATGTGGAACGGGACGGGGATGTGGGATAGGGCAGGAATATGGGGTGGGATGGAGGTGTGGAATGGGATGGAATGAAATGGAATGGGAAAGGGGAGTGGGATGGGGATGTGGAGTGGGATGGGGATGTGGGACAGGACAGGAATATGGGGTGGGATGGGATGGGGGTGTGGAATGGGATGGAATGAAATGGAATGGGACAGAGGAGTTGGATGGGGATGTGGGATGGGGATGTGGGATGGGATGCGGGTATGAGCTGGGGACCCTCTTCACTTGTATTCTTGCGGTGCCAAAGGGGACCCTGCAGCCCGCAGGGATGCTCCCATCTGCCAGGCTCCCTCCTGCTGCTCCCCACTCATGCTCCAGGCAAAGGGGGGCTGTGAATGAAGCTCTGTGCCTGCCCCCCCATCAAGGAGCAGGCTGTGGCCAGGACAGTGGTGTGCAGGGAAGCTGGAATCCCCCTGCTCCGTGCTGGTTTGGGGCAGTTCATTGCAGCCCCATCCTGTGTGCTTCCAGAGGGGGTGTGCATCAGAGCAGCGCTTGGGACCAGGAAGGATGCAGGGGCGGAAGAGGCGATTGGGATGCAGGAAGATGAAGGGGTTTTGGGGAGCAGGACCACTAAAAGGAGAGCAATGAGGAGCCCTCAGTAAGTGTCTGTGGCTGAGGAATAGGTTTATGGGCAGCAAGAAGCAGTGCCAGTGCTTCCCCCGTGCCGTGGTTTGCTTGGTTGCGTGCCCTGCAGCTCAACCTGCGACTTGCAAGCCACATTGTGTGCTGCCTGCTGGGTCTATGGGGCACATATTGCCCTTAGGGCTCCCCCTTTACCAGACAAGAAGGGAGGCACATCTGTGTCCCGTTTATCCTCTAGCTCAAGGATGTGATGTGATTTTCCCAATCCCAGTCACTGGAAGGAGCCAGGGTTGTGGCATCCCCATGGCACATCCCTCCCAAACCAGGGTGGGCAAAGGGGGCATCTCTTGTGTCTGCAAAGGGGAGATCACAGGGACCAGCCACAGGAGGAGGGTGAGGGCCAGGCGGGAGCTGCAGGTCCCTTCTTTAGGGATCTCCCCAGCCCTTTCCATTGGCACAGAGGAGCAGGCCCAAGAGAACACCTTGGGCTCACTCCGTGTCTTTCCAGGTGCCTGGGGATGAAGCTGGATGCTCTTCAGCCCCCTGTAGCTTGCCTGGATCTGATGGGAATGCGATGGATACAGGTGACCTAAAGGGAAGCATGTGGTCAGCAGGGAATGGAGATGGAAGATGCGTTTGGACCTCACCAAACAGCAACGGATGAAGGTATGTAAGGTAAATATAAGGTATATAAGGTAAATAAGGTATATAAGGTAAATATAAGGTATATAAGGTAAAAATAAGGTATATAAGGTAAATAAGGTATATAAGGTAAATATAAGGTATATAAGGTAAAAATAAAGTATAGAAGGTAAATATAATGTATATAAGGTAAATATAAGGTATATAAGGTAAATAAGGTATATAAGGTAAATATAAGGTATAGAAGGTAAATATAAGGTATATAAGGTAAATAAGGTATATAAGGTAAAAATAATATATATAAGGTAAATATAAGGTATATAAGGTAAATATAAGGTATATAAGATAAAGTATATAAGGTAAATAAGGTATATAAGGTAAATATAAAGTATATAAGGTATATAAGGTAAATATAAGGTATATAAGAGAAATATAAAGTATATAAGGTAAATAAGGTAAAAATAAGGTAAATATGAGGTAAATAAGGTATATAAGGTAAATTTGGCTTCTACTTCGATTTTTGCCTAGAAACCACTTTAAGGTAAACCCCATCTCAGCCAGCTCTAACCTGTAGCTCCCCCTGCTCCTGAAATACCAGTGTGAGGTGGTCTGCAGTGTGCTTACTCCTTCCCCTACCTCCACCTCTGGGGACTGCTGACAAGTTCTCCTCTTCCATCACTGTTGCCATGCCAGTTAGAAAGAGAAGAGGAGGAAAAACCCACCCCCAAAGCCTCCTTTATCCCCTGGATATTCCGGCTCATGAAAGAAACGGTGTTAAATAGAGCATCTCTCGGGAAGGCTGCAGGCAGAGGAAAGCCCTTCACTTGTCTTTGTGCGGAAGGTTGGCAGGTCAGAGGCCTGGGCTCTCACCCAAAGGTTCAGGCTGTGCTCTCCCAGCTCCGAACCATATGGGCAAGGAAGGAGGATCCTCTCCAGGGACCGAAGATGAGTCAAAGCGAGTTGTTAGGGGCGGCTTTCCAGGAAAGAAAGGCTTGGGGAATCCAAGCTGGCTGGGTCTGGATAGGGTCAGTGAGGGCGAGATGCTCAAGAAGCCCCAGGCACGTCAGGGCTTTGTGACCTAAACCCTGCCCCGTCCTTGCTCCAGGAAGATGCTGGGTTTCATTGGATTCAGGCTGGTTCTGATGATAGGGACTGGATGCTCTGCATGGTTTCCCATTGCAACAGCGCTTTACCTGCTCCATGAGAGAAGATCTGAGATTGAAAACATCATTGAGCACGTCTGCAACACAACAGGAACCAAATCAGCCTGTTCCCCCCATGCAGAGGTGATGCACAGAAGGATTCATGCTCCTCACCTCATTGCTCCTGCAGCAGGAGCATCTCTGCTGCCTTCTCTCATGGTCCTGACACATAACATCACCTCTGGCATCAAAGCTTCCAATATGGGTGTGTGGAAAGTAGATGAGCTTTAAGGTCCCTTCCAACCCAAACCAGCTTGTGATTATATGATCCTATGACACAGAAATCACCCCAGATTCGCCTCTCTCTTCACCTGCCTGAGACAGGGTCCATCCTTGATGGATTCGCTTTATGGGATGCTCATTTCGGAGATGCGTAAAGCAGAAGATGCAGGGAGGCAGCAAGGGAGATGCTGCACATCCGGGTAAGCCTGAAAGGCTGCCCAAACGATGCAGAGAGGCAGCTCCCCAAGGGGCACAAAGCCTGGGAGGGGGATTTGGAAACAGGATTTAAGCCTGGATTTTGGGGGAAGCCATAAACCTGCTTTCCTCCCATCGGAGCTCCAAACCCACCCTTGAAGCAAGGTTGCCCTCTGGTGAGACTTCATTGCCCTGCACATCAAGGCATGAAAGGCAACTGAATGCGACTGCTTTGGGGTACGCATCGAAACGAGGTTAAGAATGGAGGATCCATATGGAGATGCCTTAAGGGGGTTTGGGAATCAGAGTCAGGATCCTTTAAAACCAAGGCAAACCAAATCACAGCCCTTTGCTCTTGATGCACCCGGGTTATGGTGCATAACTCCATGAGCTTGTCTACAGCAATGGGATTTGGAGGCACATTCAGTTCCTAAATGGAGACCCTGCCTTAGGAAAGAGCTATCCCTGCTCTTCCCTGAGCCTGAAAGCCTGATTTCCCCCCCCCTTTACAGCATCCAGTGGGAATTATGGTTTTCCCGCAGCATCACTCTCAGCTGCCCATCCTCTTGTGCTGTTGATGCACATCCCCAGGGATGGGATGCTGCACTTGGGGAAGCTCCTACAATGCATTAAGGGGAAGGAAACCCCATTTGTTTAAGGGGTTTTGGGGTACCAAAGGCTAAATAAGCGCCACTTGTAAGGCAGGGATGCCCTCCTGTGACTGCAGTGTGCAGTGCAGTGATTCCCGATCGATCTATGGGATTTTGCTGTGGAATTCGCTTCCCAGTTCTCACCTGCTCCAAACCAAGCCCCAAATCCCATGCAAATATAAGGCCAGAAATGCTTTCCTCGAGCATCACTTCCCATCCTTGCAGCTAAGAGGCTTCTACTGGAGGTAAATCGGAAGCATGCAAGGCCAGGGCTGTGATTTGAAGCCCAGATGCTTTCCTTGCAGTGATTTCTTCCCACTTACTGCCTTCAAAAGGAAAACTAATGGAATTAAGCCCTTTCCTTTTGCCATCAAGGTAGGTTAGGGGCTGGCTGCAGCATCCTTCATCCTCCTCTTGCTGCTGCCCCAGGCCAGCCAACTGGCAGGGATGGATGCAGCATTTCCTCCATAGGGAGCCACTGACATCTAGTGGTAACGTTTATTGGGCTTGTAGCTGCTGGGAAATGATTATCCCAAAGGTTTTCCGGGGGCTGAAAGGAGGGAATAGCTAAAACAAAGCAGGGAATGGCCACACCATCAGCCTGGCACTGCAGGTTGGGATGTGATGCCATTCGCAAGGCAAGGAGGGCACAGC